CAGATAAAGGGCAATAGTTTATTTCCACTATGAAACAAAGTACAGAGCCAACGAGAGCAAGTCAAGCTTGGAGCACCCACCCCTGTCCTCACCCCAACACCCCGTGTCGGAACAGGTCAACCCCATCCCAGGGTTCTGTGGGATGGGGTGCTACAAAACCAGGTAACACCAGTAAGGCTTCAAAGTCAGTAATTCTATCACAGTTCACAGCCTCTCAAATAGCACTTTTTAAAATCAGGTGGTGGAGGAGGTAGGGGGGAGGTGTGGAAGACAGTGGGTAGGTTAACACGACACGAGCGTGACATGCCAATGGAGCCGAACCTGCCCAAACCCATTCCTGAGCATCGCCGTGCTTCCTTCCTTCCTCCGCCTCCTTCGCTGTCTGCCGTTTATACCAATCACCGTCATTTTGTTTTCTTTAGATCTTTCATTCTCACACCCCTCGATCTCTGCTTCATCTTTCACCTCTTATTTTGAAGTTGGAGGCATCTCCTTTTATACTGCAAGGGGAAAGTCCTAAATCCATCTGGGCTGGGTGGAAACACATCCAGAATGTGAAGCTCTTGGAAGAAATCTAGTCCAATTAAGAGGCCAGTTCTGAAAGGCTCTGCAGAAAATGCTCCACGCTCTGCACCTCACAGAGCTCTCCTGATTTATCGGGCCAGCAGCTGGGATTTGAGAACCATCCTTTGACCCCTGAGCCATCCTTAGTTTTCTCACTCATGGTGGTTGGCAAGATCCAAATTTGTAGCCCACAGGATTAGTTTCCAGCTTGTTTGGAGCTTTTTCCAAAGCTAAAGGCAACAAGATGAACAAGCATATAAACTTGGATTGTTTAACCTACGTATTCCAGGCATTAGACCTGAGGAGACTGTTTAAATCACCATAATTACTTTCATACAGGTTGTTAAAGCCAGATTCATTAGCTTAGGTTACAATGACCTATACAACATGCTTTAAACCCATTTATCCTATTAAAGAGATTTAACACTCACCTCCTTTCATGAGATGTCAGGGATTCTTGATTTATAGCTTGGTCATGCTTTAAAAATAAAAGTCATTACCTCCCTTACTCTAGTAAAAACCCACAGCCTCGAGGTTGCCACAATACATCTATAATTGAACAGCAACAGCTCTAATCTTCAGCTGGGATGACAAAAGCATTGGCTATTGAAATACTGCCTACGACAGCGTCTGCATACCAGGGAGCACCACATCCGCTGACAAGTTTCAGCAG